GGATGCCATGCAGGGGGTCATCTGCCTGTACCCCCTCCTCACCCAGCTGCACCCCCCCCACTTGGCAGCAGCTCAGCATGATGTCCTGGAGCGATGCCGCAGCACAATGCCCTTCCAGCCTGGATCCCTGCACCGGCCTTGGCCAACAGCCCTTCCCTGTTGGGGATGGAGACCATTGCCTTCCCGCAGACATTCCAAGGGAATGGAAAGGGCTGCTGGCATCCCCTGCTCCCAGGAGCCCTGAGCACCCAGCAGGGACTGCCTGCATGACAGCCATCGATCTGAGACGGCGATTTTACTCCGTGCTAGCGGGCTTTAGGGTAAAGCCATAAACTCTGCACTAGCAGGAGTTCATTTACCGCCCCAGCAGCCGTTTGCTTTTATGCACCAGGCAGGAGCAGGGATGGGGTTTCAGGAGCTCCATCCCTACTCCTGCTTCCCAGCGGCTTCTCTCCGTAACGCCCAAGGGAAAGCCACTGCCCCGTGCCAGGGAGGTCGTGCCGTGCTGGGTGGGAGGTGGGCAGCCCTGTCACCATGCTGGGACACACACACACACTCACCGAGGGGCTCGGGCACCACAGCCCCGTGCCAGGGGCTCAGAGCTGCCTGGTTACACTGTGCGCTGCCAAGGCAACGCGAGGGAGAGAGCCGAGGCCAACGACAACCAAGCTTTCTCTGGAGTTAGGGCAGGACACAGTGCCCTGCAGTCCCTGGCCCTGCGAGATGCTGGGAATCTGCCCCACACTCATCCCATGGATGAAGGCAAAAGGCACAAGCCCCTGGGCTGGCAGCGATGGATAGGGATGCCCAGCCAAGCTCCCATCCCTGGCCACTGCACCCCCTGACCTGGGCACGGAGACGGGCCCCACTCCCGGCAGGACACTGGTGGCCCTGCCTAGGTGAGGCCCCTGGCACTGCCATCCCCCCCAGCGCCCCACAGGAGGAGGAGCGCCCGCCAACACGGATTCACACGGAAACGGCCTATTTTGGTGGCGCAATCAGGCTGACAATGGAGTTACAAGGCTACACAGCAATGCAGCCGGGAGCTGAATTTACACTGTTTACAATATCTCCTGCAAAACAACAACCACCCTGTTCCCAAAATCCAGGCTGGACACTGATATGATTGAAACGAGCCCGGCCCACCCCCACAATGCCGTTTCCTGACACTGTTCTGGCAGCTGGGGGCTATTTTGAGCCATGAGGCTCTGCCACGCTCGGCCCCATGGCACCCACCCTGGGTGGGCACGGGGAAGAGCCTGGCCCTGTCCCGGGCACGGTCCCCAGGGCATCCCGGAAGGAAAGTGATTTTGGCCAGAGTGGGGTAGCACAGTCTCATGCTGGAAGCACAGGAAGGCACTTGGGTCTCTCAGCTGCCTCAGGACGTGGTTCTCTGGGTTTTGGCCACATTGCAAAATTTTCTCTCCCATTTTTGCACCAGTTTAGGATCTTAGATCAGCCCAGGACATGAATGGAAAATGTCTGAAAGCTTGGCAAGGTTTGCAGGATGTCAGAAGCTGCTCCACCCCTGCTAATCCACCCCTTGGTCCCTGTAAGTATTCGGGGGGAGGTTTGGTGGTGTCCCCCGCCCCGGCCAGCCCTGCTCCGGCTGCCGGGTGCTAATAGGCACCCACCTGACAGCATTGATTTTCCTCCTAAGGGCGGAGGAGAGAATTGTCTCAACTATAATTCCTCAACGTTACATTTTTCAATTATATCTTGAGCTTGACACCGCAGTCACTCTGCCGGCGATTGCTTCCACACCTGCCCCCGCCGTGATGAATCTGAAATCATTAGCCCCACGGTGACAGTGGGAAGTGCACCGGCATCGCAGCCGAGCCCCACTGCCTCCAGCCCTGCCACGATGGGACCCTGGAGCGGGATGGGAATGCACCAGCAGATCTGCAGCCCCTGGGCTCGTGCCCATGGGTACTGCCCCATCCTCATGGCATTTCACAACCCTAATCCTACCTGCCTTCCATTGCCCGCCCAGTGCAGCATCCCGCTCCCCTGCCCAGGTTCCTACCTCCAGCTCCTTGAAGAAGATGCAGCTCCGTGCCCACTCCACGATGGAGAAGAGGGTCTGGTCTGCCATCTTGCACATGAGGCCGAACGTGCTGAGCTTCTCATGCCGGCCTTTGCCTTGCTCTTGCTGCAGGCAGGCCAGTATCCGGGCCTTCACCTGGGCCTCGTCCGGCTCCAGCTGCAGCAGCTTCAGGATGACCTCGGGGATGTCTGGAGGGGAGATGCTGGGGTAGGTCTCTGGGTACACGTAGGCGGGCACGGACTCATGCACGTTTGTGTAGTGGTCCGGGTACTCGGACTTGATGGTGCGGCTGGGGAAGGAGGGGTAGTGGTAGCCAGCAAGTGGCGTGTGGCTGGGCACAGTCACTCCCAGGGAGGGCATCCCGTAGGGGCTGCGCTCGTAGTCGACAGGTGGCAGGGTGGCAGGGTTGGGCGGCAAGGTCTTGGACATGGCGTGGATGCTGTGGATGGTGGAGGACAGGCTGTAGTCGTTCTGCACCGGGGACATGATCTGAGGTACTGTCTCCAGCTTGAAGCCGTTGGCACGGATCAGAGCTTTCTTCTGCTGCTTTAAGGCACGGTCCCGCTTGTACATGGGTCCAAACTTGTTCCTTCCTCCACGCATCCGATCTGCACGCACAGCTGGGGGACAGAGAGGGGGCAGAGGCTGCAGTGAACCTGTGTGGAGGGAAAACAGTGCTTCCACGCCGCACAGAGAAAATTATGGGAGGGATTTGGTGGCCAAACAGGGCTGGGGGGCACCAGGGAGACCTTCTCAGAAAGCTGTTGGCAGGCTGTACCGCTCCCTGCCCAGACATGCACACCATGGAGGTGACATGGCAGGTTCGGGGTGCCTGGCCCCGGCTCTTGCCTTGAGGGTGTCCCCCTCAGAGACCCTGGGAATTGCAGGAAAAGAAACAACACCTGGCTTCAACTACAAAATGGGCTGGGGGATAAAGCAGATTGCATCCCTTGCAGGTAGGGGCAGCCCATGAAACCCACGAAGTCAAGGGGGCTCGAAACCCACTTTCATTTTTATGACCACTGACTCTGGACCAGGCCTGGGATTCCCTTATTTCCTGGTCCCTTGCAGAGCCTGGGACCCCACAGCCCCCTCGGGACCCTGGTTTGCCAGCATCCAGGCTGCACATGCTTCTTTTCTGCAAATCTCTGCCCCTTTCACCAACAGC